GAATAGTAGAAAGAACACTTGGAGAAAGTGGTGAAGAATTAAATGAGGAATATTACCAATATTACATCTGTCACAGGTGAAAAACTACATATATAGATGAGTGTAATCCATTCATTGTTTATAGCCTTGCAGTCCTCCAAGTAATGTCACAAATCCACATGATGTCCCTGAGTGCTGATTTTTATAGTGCATTTAGATCCGTGAGCTGGATGAAACTTGGGTAAAACTGCAAGCAGGTATAGCTCCCTGATGAGCAGATGTGCTAAGATGTCGATGACTGGATGGTGGGAAAATACATCCGAATATACAGCTATCCTAAAAAAGTGTCATGTGATACTGAATCCCCTCTTGAGAGAGGCTTTCTCAAACTTCAGGGCCTGGCCCCATTGGAGAGGGCTAGTGGTGGGTGGCCTGAAATTCTCCCACTGAAAATAAGAAAATGTGATTGGCCACTGCATGGGGATTTTCTTTTATGCTTTTCCCACCGTAAACTGAATTCTCTCTCAGCCATACAGCAGGGCTGCAGGAAGTGAGAAGGGTTTCTCCAGCAGTGCCTCCTTTATGATCCCTGTGACACTGTCACTGAGGGCAGAGAGCGTCTCTTTTCTTCCACTCTGTGCTCTCCCTGCTTATGTCTAGCCAGCCCGGTGCTGCTGGGGAGCAGGGAGGAGGAGCTGCTTTAGGGCTTTCCTGCCGGGGAATTGAGAGAGACAGAATGGAGGAACCAGGTGCAAAGGAGTAAGTGGGGTCAAGGGAGGAGACAGGCCAAAGTGGGAAGAGTCTTCACATGCAACTACAGGCTTAAGGGGTAGGTGGACAGATTAGGAGAATCGACTCCAGGAGGGATAGAGGGGCGTGGATGTGTGTGCATGGGAAGCCAGAAGGAAGAGAGCAGAGCCAGGGAAAGAAACCTTAAATTTAGAAAACAGTTTTTATTATTGACTATAACATTCCCAGGTATCCTCAATTCAGAAACCGAACTACATTTGTCAGGCCAAAATAATCATCATTATTATTTTCTATACTTTGAATTTGAAGTTGAGGCAAATATGGCTGGGACAAAAGAGCCTTTTCCCATAACTTGTGCCTATTGGGTTTGTTTTCACGGTATTTTGTGCTTTCAGCTATGTGATTGTGCATGGATACTTTGTAAGCATAACTTAGATACTTAGTGTCTGATGCTGCAAATATTACAGGTCTAGTCTCTAAACTGGTGCTTCCCATTATTTAAGTCCAGGGGGTACATATGCCAAGAAGAACTGTGCCTAGTAATAGGTGTTTGCTAGATGAGGCATTCAGTTCATCCCTGGGAATTTCTTAGTTACTCATCCATCGAGCTTTGTAAGGAGATTTCTTCCTTTGCTTAGGATCTCGTGTCTGCCTGTCAATGGATCACCTGCAGCAGTTCTTATTATGTTTTAGCTGGACGGCGAAACAGCATGAAAAACATGATTATGTACAGCAAAGGTCAAATATATTTTGAATATTCAAAAAAATGTTGATGGAAGCAGCAGTTCAAAGAAATAATCGTATGCTACTCCCTTTCAGTCCTTTTGTAACATACCCAGTAGCACTCTGCTATTATCAGAATCTTTTATACTAGCATTTCTCTTGAAAATAATTGGATTTGTACTATAAAGGTTACAGATTATTTAAGGAAACAATTTCTCAACAGATACCCAAAGCTTTAGTGAAATAGAAATATAATTCAGTGGTTTTTTTTCCATACTAAATCACAGAACATAAACAGCTCACAATCAGTTGGTATACTAACTATAATATTGTTCTTCAGACTGGATAATTGCATGTATGTTACATCAGTTATTGTGCATTATGATTGTTGTGTGAGGAGCTGTCATTAATAATTATAACTGGTAATGTGTGGTGGTGGAATCAATTATTATTTTTCTTTTTTTAGTATATCAGTTTGTGAAAGGAATGTTGTCTGTACCTTTCCCTAATGTAGCCTTCTATTTAATAATTTAGTAGTCAGTCTGAACCATGTTTTGAAGGGGGGAGAAACACGTCTTTATTTTGCATGTGTATTCTCTGGGGATAGAATATCCAAAAATAAGACTATAAATAAGAAATCAGTGGCCTTTTCTGTCTTGTTGCATTACGTGGGCTTGATGTATGTTTCTGCAGCATTATTACTCACTCGGCTCAAATCAATGCTCTGAGCTTTCCTCTCAGTGATTGATTTCTTCAGGTTAACTTGCCATGTACGTGATTTAAGAAACACTCCAATTACTTCATTAACAAACATACAAAAGTGTCCACAGCAATATGTAAAACTGTTACTATGAGATTTGCAAATTGCTTCAGTCGGTCATAACTTTTTTTTCTTGGTATTGCCTAATCTAATGGATAGCACAATAGGGTGTTCATCTTTTGTAGCTGAGAAGCAAAACAAAATTGCTTTCAAGAAACATATGTAAGAGGAGGAATTTAGCATAATCAAAACTGATGCTGTTAGGGATGAAGGTGAAAGGGGGAGCAGCTTCCTGGGATGCTTCTGTTCCATAGCATGTCTGATATATCACAAAAGAAGCATTTTCCAGTGCTTTTCAAGGCTCAAACGTTTCTGTATCAGACTATGCATTGAACAGAACCTGCACCAGTCTCATAGCATTCATAGCCCAAAGATGTGTGGAGGCTGAGAGAAATGTATGTAATCATGAATCAAAATTTAGTGAAGGTTTGTATTGATCAAATTAAGAGCCGATAATGATTTTAAGTGTAAATATTTTGGACAGTAAACCAATACTTAGGACTTACATATATATCTTTGAAATCATAGAATATCAGTGTTGGATGGGACCTCAGGAGTCCAACCCCTCCAGACAGATTTTTACCCAGTTCCCTAAATGGCCCCCTCAAGGATTGAATTTACAACCCTGGGTTTAGCAGGCCAATGCTCAAACCACTCAGCTATCCCTCCTCCCCACAGTTCATTCTCATTTAGTAGGGTAGTTGTTCTAGAGACATGTTGTTCCCTAACAACTTATACATGTTGATGTGTGATTAGGGTAAAGGGCAACTGAGTCCATTTCACATGTGGTATTAGCACAAGGAAGGATTTGCAGGCTTTGGCCATTTGGGATCAGAGTTTAGGGGTGAACTTTCAAGTGCTCAGCACCCGTAATGGAAGCCTGATTTCTGTAGAATTCTGGGAATTTCCTCTTTTGTTATACTTCTCTTCCATAGCACCTCCATGATATTTCACAAAAAGCAGCATTTCTCAATGCTTTTTACTCAAAACCTTTCCTATCTGAATATATGCATTCAATTTTTTTCAATGGCCTTCAAGCATTGGTATGCTATGGACAGAAGTGTCCTAATTTTGAGTCAAAATATCAATGCAGCAGCTAGCACTCCATATCTTTTAACACTGACATTCTCCCCCTCCCCCTTTACAGTTCAGCCTCTGTTCTCCAGTTTCCCTGCTGAAGTCCTGGGATATCATCTATTTTTCCCATTGTTCTTCCTCAATATATGGTAGTTGTCTTTTTCTGTGCCTTTTGCAGTATTATTTCTTTAGGTGTAAATCTTAATAGCTTCACAATAGGTCTCTGCTTGGATGTGAGTTTCAGGCTGATGTACAATGTGCTCCTTCTATCTCTGTGCTGAAATCAGTCAGTGGGCAGGTCAAATACAATATTTCTTTTAGTGCTTTTTTTAGAGATGTTGCTGGGGTTCCATTTATCTTCTCTTTCCATAAAGTACTTTTTTTTTTTTGGGTATGTTGCTTCATCTTCGTCTGTTCTTGGGGGTGAGTGTGGCAGAGAATGATGTTTTCTTTTCAATTCCTCCAATATTTTTTCTCAGTTAGCACTGTTGTCTTTCCCAACCTCTTTGTATTGCAAAGTTGGAATGCTACTTTCAGCCTCTAGCCTTCTGGTAGATTTTTGGAAGGTACATTTTATTATATCAGTGCCTTCTGATGCCTTTTAAAGTATTGTACAATATGATTCCATTCAATCCACATTTTTCTCATCATTGCCCCCGATACCTGTAGTCTTCCCTCCATCTTGGAACATAGCCCTGCAGCTTTCTTTGCAATGCCAAGTGATGAAGGAGATGAGTAAGTGTTCCCCCCCCCCGCCCAGGTTTTTGTCAGTGTATTTTTATAGTGCTCCTGAATGGTGATGGGCTTGAAGTCCCTGGAGACTGAAATCCTGTTTAATCACAGGGTAGGTACAGCACAGCAGCAAAGCAAGTTTCCACACACTGCCCTGGTATTGTCTTGAGCCTGAGAGATTACCTCCTGTAGATGAGAGGCGTTCTCCTCCAAAGCCCGTTCAGTCCTTGGCCTCACCTCTGAGATTGCCAACAAAAGTGCCATTTGTAGTAATGAAATTTGTGACATGGGTTACTGTCCACCTGGAGCTGGACTGAGACCTCCATATCACAGGGTCGGGGTGTTTGATCTGTAAGTTATTGGGGTTTTTCAACAGATGTGGGGTCAGAACACCTTCTTTAAGCTGTTATTCATGTCAAGCCATCGCATACTCCCTAGACGCTGTGAGTTCTTTGTATTCATGTGATTCAGTGCAAAGAGCTTGCTCCAAAGACTGCTAAAGTCTGTGGAAAAAATTTCCTTTGACCTCATTGGGTTTTGGATCCCGCCCTTAGTGTCGTAGCAGTTCACCTGTCTGCTGTAAAAAATTTAAAAAAAGAAACATTTTAAATTTGCTTCCTACTTTTAGAAAAACAAGAAGATATTTAAAAAAAACAACAACTCTCCCATAGTATCCTATGCCATATGAAAGCACTGAGCAGACGTGGTCATAAATTATAATCTCACTATACATTTTTGTACTAGAATTATTTTGTTAATAGCAGGTCTTGTGTGTGTGTTTTCAGTTTGTCCTTAAGGAGCTGTGTGTTTTATTCAGCTTCCCTGGCAGACCAATATAATGAAGTTATATGGTATTCCAAATGAAATGCTGAGTATTAAATGTGTTAGAAATTATTTAATCTCTCTTGATTTCTTTCAGCTAACGGGAGAGGTGACTTTGCAAATTGCCAGTGAACCGGTTCTGCCCTTTAATGCCCTGGACATCGCATTAGAAGTTCAGAACAGCCTTAAAGGTAATTTTATTCAAGCAAGACTAATCTCAGCTAACATAAAAAAAGGTTCAACTAAATTTCGATCCTGAGATTCTCTGTTTCAGTGTAAACAAAACCTGCTTATTTTATTACTCAAACAGTGTCTTTCTATGATGTTGACTGAAACATAATTTTAGTTTAACATAGGATAAATTGTTTACATTTCTTCTGATCTTACTAAAACAGTTTAATCAATAATTAGCATTAAAATCTCATAATTACTGTCAAAGATAAACAACCTCCATGACTGAGCTGCAAGAGTTTGTTTCCATTTAATGCTACATTCAGTACAAGCAGGAAGGGAACTCTGAACTTCACAGCCATTTAGGCTCTGTAACTTTTACCATTTGACAAGTGGCCAGCTTGGTTGTTTATTTATTACTCTAGTTCACATTGGCAGCAGATCACTCCAACTTGCCTCTGTTTTCACAGGATAATGTTCTGTTGAATAATTTGTTTGAGTTGATTTATCAGTTAGATCCTGAAAGCGCTGTGTTTGAAACTGAATGACCTTGGTCTCTGTGTTTGGATCACAGGCTGAGGGAAGGGAAAAGACAATTCCTGTATGGGGAAAGTAGAGCTTTCCCTTATCACTTGCTGCATCATGGCCCACACATACAGGGGAATTATCACCCATAGAGAGGCAGACATGTCTCCAGTTGAGGTGGGGAGAGGAGAGGATATGTTCCCGGTACTAGTGAATACATCCCAACAGAGGGCTGCAAAGGCAAAAGTGTGGTGGGATGGTTTCCTGGAGCATTCACAAAGGATTGAACTGGGGTGCATGGTCCTGGAAAGGGACATGTGTTAGAGGCAAACAGTTGTGACGCAGCACCTTCTGTTACAAAGGGCAAGCTCTGCACCCCAACCATGCACTGTCCTGCATACTAGTGGGGCCACTGTTTCAATCCATCTAACTGCAGGTCTGTCCCACAACCATTAACCCCCCCCAAGACATGGAGAATGAGAATTCTTTGCAGCGCATCAACTACAGGAGTTTGTGAGCCCTCCTTGGTTTGGCAGTGCCAAGGTTTAATTGGTCATAAGTTTGCATTACATTCTTGGTTAATTTTTTGTTAGACAAGAAGAAATGTGTTACCTGGGTTATTTATGAACTCAATAACTTTATTTTGGAACAGCTCAGCTGAAAATTTTCACTAAGGAATGGCTCATGACATGACATACCCCCTTAGTATTAATTCCTAATAACATTTCAGACATTTCCCACAACTGACTCCTTCACTTCAAAGTACAAGCACAATGTATGCCTGTCCCTCTCACTCCTCGGATAGTTTTTGGAGGCACCCTCTCTGGCTGCCATAATTTTCAGAAAGTCTTGATACAGGCCTGCTGACAGCAATTCTGGGCCCCAGGGCAGAACAGTCCATGGGCCTCCTAGAAAGGTCCACCTGACATTTGGGTGGTGCTGCGCCTGTGCTGGCTTGTGCCCGGTGAGCTGCCAGCTGTGCTCTTCCGGTATGCCCAGGGCTTCCACATGCCCGCCCGGCTGCCTTCACCGCTGCCGGTACCACCCTGCGCATGGCTAGGAGCCCTGCAGCCCACCCGGGCAATTTAAAAGGGCCCGGGGCTCCCGGCCACTGCCACCGTGTCCCCTCTTATTTTTCCCACCCATGTGCAGAATGTATTTTATGATGTGCATCAATATGGAGGTGATGTGTGACAGACACAGCACCTCCATATTGGTACACATCACAAAATTCATGTGGTGGGGGTGGGGCTGAGGGGTTTGGCGTGTGGGAGGGGGTTCAGAGCTGGGGAAGAAGGTTGGGGTGCAGGGGTGTGAAGGCTCCGATTGGGGGTGCGGGCTCTGAGGTGGGGCCGGAGATGAGGGGTTTGGGTGCAGGAGGGTGCTCTGGGGCTACGGCGGGGAGAGAGGACTCCTCCCAGCTCTCTCTCCCCACAGCAGCACCTAGGTTGGGGGAGAGAGGCCCCTCTCCCTGCCGTGGCAGCTCCAGGGATGGGGCTGCAGAATAGGCACCCCTCCTTCCGGCCCCACCAGGTCTGGGCTGGGGCTGGCCATGCCTGGTCCGGGCTGGGTCGCTCTGGCCACACCTGGGTCCGGGTGCCCCAGCCTCAGCAGGTCCGGGCCGCAGCAGAGTTGGGGCTAGGGGAGGGGTGCCCTGGCTGCGGCAGGTCCGGGCTGCCGCAGCAGGTTGGGGGCTGGGCCCTGAGTGCCTGCGTGGCACTAAATAGGCTTCTCTGCGGCCACACAGCTTACAGGGAACTTTTCCCCGGGCCCTTTTAAATCCTACAGGCCCCTAGGCAATTGCCACCTTTGCCCACCCTCATCAGTGGGCCTGTCTTTACACCTTTACACCTCCAGCTCCCCTTCCCTGTCACCTCCCTTGGTGCTCATAGATGTGCAAAATATGGCAAGCACTTGCCACACGAGGCATGGTCGTAATACTGAGAAACATCCGTCCTTGCCAGGAGTCACTACCACCTTCCCTTAAGCCTTCCAAAGACACAATCTGCTGACATTCTGCAATTAGTAAGGGAATGCTCACTGGGAGGGGAGAGGGGAGTAGGGCTAGGAGTACAGGGGAGGGAGGTAAATGCAGATGGGTGGTAAGGGAGGGAAGAGGGGTCAGGAAAAGAGGTAGGGATTAGAGGCAGTGAAAGGAGAGAGGACGTGAGGGATTGGAGAATGTGAGGGGTCGCAGAGGAAATTGGGGAGTTAGGAGTGCATAAGTCAGCCCTGAATTCTCCCTTATGTCTGTGCTGGGATCTGACATTGTCCTACCTCTCTGCAGTCCCTCTCCCTGCCTACTGTGTGTTGTGGGATGTGGGAAACCCTGCTCCTCTTGGAGAGTCTGAGCTCCTGTCCCTGTCCTTTCATGCAAGCTGGGATCTGGGATGGGGGGAAAGAAGGTAACAAAAAGTTAAACATCTGAAATCCAGACGATGAATAGTTAAGATGCCTATCACCTGTGTGTGAGGGGATAGCGGAGAGAGCTGGCCAGTGTTTTTGGGAGGAGATGGACTGAGTAGACCTGAGCCATGGCTGGAGAAGCCTGGGGCAAACAGCAGCAAATGGAGGTGAGTAGTGGGAGTGAGAGGCCCAGCTCAGTGTGGAGCTTGGGCTATATAACCAAGGTAGCATGTGGCGCTCCAATAAACTGCTGCCTGTGGTATGTGTAGGCAGGAGCATGGGGCAGGAGACATCAAGGAACAACTTCTTACGTGTTGATGGTGTCTGTAGTACCAGATAACGGCTTACTGGGATGAGAATGGAATGGGGAACTGGAAGTGGTGGGGGGGCTACATGTTGCAGGGTGGAGAAGGAGAGACAGACACAGGTCTTCTTTCACACTTTGTTACTACAGCAGGCATGTAATAAAATTGTTAAGGTTTTGGGACATAGAGCAGGGACGAGATTTCTCTCACCAGCCCTGTTAGCAACCACACATTGTAAACATTTCAAGCATGACCATTATCCCCATTCCAGTGTAACAAAATGTACAGGAAGGAGGAGGGGCACTGAGGAATCACATAGCAACCATGTGATCTAGTGGAAAGACCACTGGACTGGGACTACTAGCTCTGCCACTGGCCTGCTGGGTGACATTGGGCAAATCACTTCACCTCTGTGCCTCAAGTTTCCATCTGTGAAATGGGGATAATGTAAAGTTCTTTGAGGTTTACTGATGACTATATAAAAGCATTTAAAAGATTTATATTTAGAAGATTTATAGAGATGCTTTTAGAAGATTTTCTAAATGTGCAAAATCTTCTAAACACGAAGATAGTAATGTACCCAAACTGGTCCTGCAAACTCTAGCCATTCACAGAACAAATCAGTTGTTTCTCACAAACATCCATGTCGAGAGGTCTTTTCTAATTGGTTGATTTGCTTGTGACCAGTAATGCTCTTCCAAGTGGTCGTGAGGAAATATATTACTGTCAGAGGGCAGAAATGTAATTTTTAAATACTTAAGCCTTCATCAGTACCTTTTTTATAAGAGCAATTGGTTACAAGAGAAACATTATTGCACTCAATCCATCTGTCTAGAATAAATGTCTATCCATTGTAGCCTGTCTTTGAATAAAATCCACATACAGCATGTGTAATGAAAGTCAGCTGTATAATTCAGTGATCAACAGAATGCAGGCTCCCAAGTCCCTTTCTGGTACCTGCATTTTTATTTATTTAACAACTTTAAATAACTAGCTAGATGATTCATTATGATTCATACTGGATTGTGCAGCACAAAGAATAGAAAATGTAGAATAATAAAGTGCCCTTGTTTTCCCTTAAGTGAAATAACACTTGTAATTTTTTTTCCTTTTCTCTAGAGTGGTGTCACAAGATGTTTAAAATGATATTAGTTAACACATCCTTTTCTTCTGAATCATCTGCCCGTCCAGTTTCAGCCTCTGTGTTTATACATAACATAAATCACACTTTGTCCCATCAGTGAAGTCCACATGATTTCTCATGCCCTTATAATTCCCTATGAGTTCAATATCTATAAATACTCAGGGTTTTATGAGAGACTATTAAAGAAATTATTTGTTTCATATAATGAGTTCAGTTTTAGTGTGTGATGCACACAGTATACAATAGCTCATCATTTTATATGAAATGTAGTGGGTTTGAGGGCAAAATACATATCACATTGTTTTAAAACAAAAAATTCCAATGTAAGCATTCATTTGTTTTTATGTTAAAAAGGGCGGTCTACATGGCCTCATTTCCAGATATAGAATGATGAACTATTCCCCTAAGCTCACACTCACTGTTGGAGTGGCTTGATTGATATGCACAATCATTTGTATTATATTAAGAATGACAATTCTAAATATTGCATGCTGCTTGGTATATAAACACTGCTGATGAAACTAAATAGATGTTCCTAATGCAGTGAATTTTAACCTTTCTATGCTGGCAAGGATCGTGCATGCATAGTCCTTCTATTATGCATAGAATATGTAAGGATATCCTTAGTTAGACATGATGCTTGCATTGGATTGTTCGATAACTTTCATTACTCGTATAGGATCCTTGCACTTTTGCTGATATGGGTGGGGGATTTCGCTTATGTTTTTACTGTTCCTCCTGGGTGCTCTAAAAGGAGACATGAAGATGGAGAGGCCATGGCTACCAGTGCTGGCCAAGGATGGAGAGCTGAACACGGTGTAACATCTGCGTTACCCTGCTTGGAGCTCAAGAAGGGATTTTTGCCAGAATTCCCTCTAAGGTGGCTCTAAATGACATAACCTAGGCCTTATCGTATGCACTCTCTGCAGAGACCTAAATATTTCAAAATTAAAAGGAACAAATTCAACCATAAATTTGCCTTGTCTTTCATTTTGTTGCTCTCAGTAGATATTTTAAAACTGTCAGGTGGATTGTGCAGGGTACAGTTTTATACTTACACACTATAACTGGGCCCTAATGAGATTGTTGGGCTGATTCAAGCATATGTTTATCCACACCAAAAATGGAGTTAGTTTATTGATATCCAAAAAAACCCCAAACTTGATGTTCAGATCCAAGGGGGGAAAATAAGATATTTTACTGGATGTGTGAAAAGAGAGGAATAACACAGTGATTCTGTTAAGCTGTTTCAACAAGCCACTAAAAGCCAAATGCAGCATATTGTCTCACGTCTTTTGCATTCAAAACAGCAGGAGATAGCGTCATGTAAATCTAGGTCAAAGCATAAATTTCTTCCCTTTTTCATTATCACACCAATAAGTTCTAGTTGGCTGCTGATTGCTTATTAGCGGAAAGAGAAGAGTTCTGAGCAAAGTAAAAGATTTTACAAAGGAAAATAGTAGCATAAAGATTAAACTTCTGTTAGTTTATACATTTTGTGATTAGATTATTGCTTCTCTTCCATTAAACTTCACAGTTTTATGAAAAGACTGCACTGTCATTTGATTCTTTAGGATGGTTAATACAGTCTAACATACTTTGAGACATATGAAGTGTGCCTCTATGGCAAACCGTTTAGAATCAGCCAAAATCTAGCACCTAACCTAAAACCTGTGCTGTTGGGACCCAACACGAATAGAAGATAAGCTTGGATAGCTAAGAGCATTAATTTTTTATGTCATATTTTTCAAAAATTTTCTGCTTTTTATGATTAAATTTTATACCTTCAAATAATATTTGATTGAGTTGTCAACCAGTGTAACTAAACTTCACAGTTCTAATCCATAACTATGTCAATACAGTGGTACAGGATCACTGCTTATCATCCATCCTCATTAAGAAATAGCAAACAGGTTAAAAAAAGTTAGAAACAGCCCAACCTCTCCTTCCTCTATGCCCCAAAGAAATCTTATCCCAAAACCGAATCTGACTCTAACCCACCCTCTCTCACTTTTTCCCGTCAAAGTGACTTCTGCCTGTGCTGAAATTCATATTGATACTTCAGCAAATGTGGCAACCTCTGCTACGCCACCTGCTGTCTTCTTCACCATGATGATGCATTTTGGATCACTCCAGAGTGCACCATATTTGAATGCAGCGGCAAGAAGAGTGTGTGGGAGATCTGTAAGTTCCCCTCCCCCTTTGTAAAATATAATCAATAGCAAGTACTCTGTTCAGGGCAAAGAGACAGTGGGAAATTCAGGGGGATCCTTCAGCCTCATAATGTTATTTCTCTCATGGTTTCACACCCTTCCCACCGAAGTCCACCCATCCATGTATGCAAAGAGGTTTTGGTGGCAGTTCTGATATCTGTTTATATTTATTAACCAAGCAACTTTGGTACCTTTAACTTGTAATCTTGGAATTGTGTATTCTTCTCTTGCTGTTAATTATACATACTCATGAGCTAAAATCTTAGATCCAAAAATATTTGAAGATTGTACTTTCAGCTACCGATGGGTAAACTTCTAAAGTACTGGAAGTTCTGTTTTGGATCAAATTTAGCATTTAAAATTTTTGAGGTTTATTTGTATTGCTGGTTTCATTTCCCATCATTAATAGGCCAGGTAGATCTTGCGCTTACCAGAACATTGTTGATTCTGTGAACCTTACTGGGATCTGTGCATGCACTGAGAGGAGAGCATACCCTTCACCAGCACTGCAGGTGGGAGTACACTGCACAAGCCAGAAGACTCTCCAATTCATGCATCTCATTTTTTTTCCCTTCTCTGTAAATCAGGAACAATCTCAACTGAATCTGTGCTGTTCATTTGTATAAGCTCTCATTTGTTCAGTTTCTCCGTCGGTGGCAAATATCAGGCCAGGTTAACTCTCACTGTGTTGTTAATAATTTTGAAAACACTGAGCTCATTGGAGTATAACACTTCAATGTCCATTAAAGTGTTAAACTGTAGTAAATGCAGACTCTGTTAACTGGTACAGTTTTAACTTAGAGGAATTATTTCAAACTCCTTCTACAAATGTAATTAACCTTTAAGAAGTTGTAGCCCAATCTATAGATTATTAAATATATTTATATTTATCGATTACTTTAGAATTCTCAGTTACCACTTTGAGGGTTGACAGGTTCTTGTCCCAAGATCAGGCCCAGTATTATTAAAATTAGTATATATTTGGCAACCCCGATGTGAACAGCTGTAACACTCACATTATAGGAAACCTTCTATATTTGGAATAATTTATTAATACATTTAGTGAAGTCACAAACAGTCTAGCTCTGTAGACAGAGATAATACAGAAGGTACATCTGAACATCCACACTCACACCATCCCCTGCAGAACAATCCAAAATGTTAGCCATTATCTTCCTCTTCATCACCACCAGTGGCCATCATTCCGGCATGTCTCAAGGGCCACATCTCTCTTTCTCCCCTACTACACACAGGCTGAGACACAGCTTTCATAATATGTGATGCTGACACCACCATGTCTAGTGCCAATAGGGGTTTCTCTCCTCTTCCTTATTTGTATTTCCTCACCCTACTAATGTTGGCATGTCCTTCTATAGGTTAGTATATTAATGATCTCAGCTTATTATCAAATACGGCAATTCATTACCATGGCACTCTTGTGGTCAGATGTTCTTTCCAAAAGCTGGTGTTAGCTCATGTGTCCGTCGTTGGCTGGTGTCACTAGGGACAAAACTCCCCCTCACTGTTACTTAAGAAGAGAGAGATTATTCTGTTCCCCAAACTTAGGGGTTAATGTTGGGCTGTTTATCTGTGCCAAAGTTTATAGCCTCAAGCATTATGATAACTGCTGAAGCTAATGTCTTACAAGATACAGGCCTATAGGTTCCTTGCATGACTGCTGAATATAATAAAGGCAAGATAACCTTATGGACTACAAAGTTTAAGTACCCTTAGTATTCTAAGATGACAGATGGAATTCAAATAAATTCTTGCTCTGGTGTGTGTGCTTTTATGCTTGTTATGAGGGAGGAAAGGGTGAAATGAAAGGGCAGGAGCTGGTGCTTATATACTATAGGGATAGGTTTTCAGATGCAGTAGACTAACACGTACAGAATCTGTGGCATGAGAAGCAGTATCTAACAGCACTGGATCAGTATTGTCTCAGAAAGAAGAGTTCCAGCTACTGATATTTAACCATCACTTCTTGCAGAACTAAGTTTTCTTTGGGGGGTTCCCATGCAAATACTGGCCAGGTCTGACTCTTCTTAGCTTGTAAGATTTTAAGAGATCACTGCACAAGTTGGTACTACTGCAAAAATTATTGTACATCTGAAATTGATTATAGGCTCCCTTGATCCATGGTTTTAACTCCACCAGAGATGCCTTTGTTCCAGCCTAAGACAACGTGGCCATTTTAAAAAAGTATAGGTTATTTTATTGACAGCATTAAATTATTGCCTTTTGAATCATTTACAGAGCTGTATCTTTCTGTTATCATTACTAGGTGACCAACTAGACACCCGTCAGTTGCTGGCAATGGCTTCAAGACTGAGGGACAGTGCAGAATTGTTCCAGTCAGATGAGATGCGTCCAGCTAATGACCCCAAGGAGAGAGCTCCTATCCGAGTGAGAATGCTTAATGATGTTCTCCAAGGTCTGGAGAAAAACTTCTTAGTTCAACAAGCTCCTCCAGGGTTTTACAGGTAGGATGTTCAGTATGTTCTCCATTCGTTTATTCCAACTAAAATAATCATCTCACATTGCTTAGCTTTCAAAACTGTCATGCCTCTTTTAAAAGTCTCAGTGAGAATCCAAGATAAAAGGTAAATTAAAAAAAATCATCCTTACAGCAAAAAATTTAAATTCATACCAGTGCAGGAGGTGATTAGAGTGCATCTTTGTAACATTTCTGTCATGACATCACTGCTAACAAGATGTTCTGTGCTATAGGAACTCAAGCAGCATGACAGATACTTATGTTAGATGGTACAGCAAGCTTTCAAAAGAAAAAATATTTTGAAATCTAATGGTATTTGATATGCTTCTCAATGTTTTATTAAAAACTTTACAAAAAATTTTTAAACAACACTGAGTTACAGAAGATCCAGCATAGTGTTATATAAAATCTGCACATAGGTGCTAATCTATCTTCCCCTGTCTATGTACTTTCAATAGTATAAAGAGAGTACCTTGGTCTGAATGGTAAGGCTTTAGTCAGCCATCTTCCATAACTTCCCCCTCTTAGAAACTAGAGTTTTAGAACTTTGGGGGCAATTAGTTCATCTCCCCCTTACCTAAATTGTTCCCTATTGAATATTCAAGTGCTTTGTCCAGACTAGTTTTAAATGGCTCAAGCAGTCCACCTTTCATCTTCTGGAGAAGGAAGAATGAGCCTTCCTCACTTCAGCTTCTAGAGTTGACTTGGTAGTTGGAGAAATTTGTACTCCTTTTTAGTTTAAAAAAATATGTTTGGTTAAAGGAAACCATTTGACTATTCCAAACAAACTGTTTTAAAATAGTTCTAAGCAACTTTCCAGACCCAAATGTTTAGGATTTAAGTCTTGCTCAGTAGTGATCATGTTGTTTTATGGTGTTCTCAAGATGAAATAGATGGGAAATGTTTTTCTTTTTCTGTCTTCCTCCCTTTAATTGCTCCAAGATGAGCATTGGTTTGGGTCCTCCAGGGAGGATTTGGAGGAGAGTCGAAAGTTTGATACTTAAGAAGGAGGGAGATTATTCCAAGCATTGAGGATGGTATTAAACAGGTGTAACCATATAAGAAAAGTAAATTGTGGAGGAGCCTAGAATGGAAATGAATCAGTCCTATAGCTATAATGAAGGGGATATTAACAGAAGAGTAAAATTTGCAGTGGGACCAATCAATGTCATTCTCACAGTAGTTGAGCTTGTGGCATGAAAGAAGATGTTCACCAAAGAAAGACTGATAGACCATATTTTGTAGGCATTTGATTTTTTTTCTACCTAAGTGTAGTACTTTGTACTTGTCTCTTTGAATTTCATTTTGTTGATTTCAGACCGATTCTCTAATTTGTCAAGATTGTTTTGAATTCTAATCCTGTCCTCTAAAGTGCTTGCAACTCTCCCAGCTTCATGTCATCTGCAGATTTGATAAGCATAATCTCTACTCCATTATCCAGGTCATTGATGGAAATGTTGAATAGTACTGGACCCAGGACAGACCCCCATTTGATACACCTTCACAGTTTGACAGGAAACCATTGATAACTACTCTTAGCGTACGATTGTCAACCAGCTGTGCACCCACCTTTTAGTAATTTCATCTAGAGTACCTAGGGTTATGAGAATGTCATGTGGGACTGTCTCAAAAGCCTTACTAAAATGAAAATTCTGTAACTTTTCTCTTTCTGGTTTCAGTAAGTTAGACTTACGATTTAAAAAGTGGACCACGATCATGCTTTGTTTTGTGGCAACACTTTGGATGTGACTTCCTTCTTCCATGCTTTGTCAGAGTGTTGCTTTGCTCTGAAGTGTTCTGCCTAACATATACAGTAGTGTACTACAGAAGTAAATGATTCACACCTTTTATAACACTATTTATACATACCCTTTAAAAGAGTGACTTTAACCCTTCCCCTCTTCTGTAGCGCTCATTTTCTGCACTATGAGAATGGACGATAGGTAGTTTGGACCTGCTTGTGTGACTCTTACTCACATTGGGGAGCACGCAGTCATATAAATGAGAAGGGAAGGACCAAGTTTAATTCTCAGATCCCCAAATGAGTGAAGTATATTGGGAGGCCCTTGGAAACTAAGGGTAGGTCCACACTACCCGCCCAATTCGGTGGGTAGAGATCGATCTTCTGGGATCGATTTATCGCGTCTCATCTGGATGCGATAAATCGATCCCAGAAGCGCTCCCCCATCGACTGCGGAACTCCTGCTCGCTGAGAGGAGGAAGCGCTGCTGACGGGGGAGCTTGCCTGCGCCGCGTGGACCCGCAGTACGTAAACTTAGTTCGATGTAGGAAACGTCGACTTCAGCTACGCTATTCTCATAGCTGAAGTTGCGTTTCCTAGATTGATCTCCCGCCCCAGTGTGGACCAGCCCTAAGCAAATGGGATCCAGAGGCACTAAGAAATAATAGTGAGAACTCAGTTTTTCTCCGACAATTAACATGGAATCCAACAATGCCATTTGACTAAGACTCTTGTCAAACCATTTTAAAGGAAGGTGCCTTACACAACAGGCCTGATTCCCATTCACACTAAGTAAATGGTAAATTGTATTTATGTGCCCTTTAAAGCCCCTGTACATAGCCGGGGCAGTGGAAAAGAGACTTATGCCTATACTGCAGCTTTAAGTGTAATTTCCAGCTTAGCTAGACATACACAAGCTAGTTTTGATTGAGATAGCGAGCTAAAAGTAGCAGTGTAACTACAGTGGTGCAGAATAGCCACCCATGTACAATCCCATCTGATAACATAGGTATACACTCGGGCAGCCAGCCTGCACCACTGTGGCTGCACTATTTGTAGCACACTAGCACTATCAAAGCTAGCATGTACGTGCGTTTTAAATTGATCCTCCAGCTTTAGATATATCCTTAGTGTAAAAGAGAGTCTCAGGTCCCACAACTAGAAATCTGATTTCCTGGTTTTTTTGTTTTGTTTTAAGAACAACAAGATGCACCATAGCTTCCTTTTGGGAGGGAAATATTAACCCACTGATGCAACTTTATTTGCAGTATTTTTAACGATTTCTGGGGAGAATTCCTTATTTAAAGAATTAAGCGCCGGTGTAATTATGTATAAATAGCCTGCAAAATGTGTCTTAAAACTGAAGCTATAGTTGGGTTATACAATAGGAACACTAAGAAGTATTTGAAACAAGTGACCTTTATTTTATTGCTCTCATAACTTTAAAACTTACCAGATGAATTTCTTTTTGTAATTTGGTAAAGAAAACAACAACAACAACAAAAATCAATCCCACAGCTGAGACCTTGTGTGCTGTGTTTCATCCCAGTGCGAAGATTGATGGGCAAGTTATAAACCTCTGAAATAGTGGTTTATAATGGCAACGCTGGCAGACCTTTAACTATAGCAGCACAAGCAGTGCCACAATAAATACCGTACTTCATCTGTAAACAGAAATTTAGGATGCAGTTTGCAGCTTTGACCTTCAAGCTCCAACTGTGTTTAGATCATTAAGATTCCATAAATACTGTAATTTACAGTCTTTTGAAGGAAGAATGTGTGTGCACAATAAAGCACATATTCTTCATGAAAAAATTATTTCTCCCTGTATATTCATTTGGACTCATATTCTCAAGCTCAATCAAAGTACTTGACAAAATTCACTGAAGTTCAGGCATCACTTCTCAGTCACTATTGGCAGGCTGGTGTTTATCCTTAATCCTTAGGTCTTTGAACCAATATTATATTTTTCTTTTCTAGAATCTAAGCTGAAAAGGAAGGATGGCTTTTGTAGCAAAGGCACTAGACTGAGACTCAAGACAGTTAGGCTGTGCTTTGCCACAGGCTTCCTGGGCAAGCTTGGGCAAGTTACTTAACCTCCTTTTGTCCCAGTTTTCCATCTATAAAATGGGGATAGTGATCCTTCCTTTGTCTGTCTTGTCTACATGGATTGTAAACTGTCTGGCACAGCAAGTGTTTCTTACTACCTGTCTGTATGTGCTTAGCACAATAGGACCTGATGTCAGTTGGACCTATTGTAATGCAATTAAATAATTATTAATGATGACTGTGTAACTGTAGTAAACTGATGGAATTCAAGTTCCTTTGATTTTTGATCATTTTCATACATAATTATGTCCTTATAATAAACTTACTGTGATGAGCAAACCTTAAAAGCTTGTTCAGTCTAGTTTAGGAAAGCACCTATTTATCTATATTATCTGGCAACATTGATTGAAAAATCTCACAATAACATGCTCTCTCTCAAGATTTCCTGGTCCCAGCCATACTAGAAATACACAAGAGCAGCTTCCACCAGGAAATTTTAGGGCTTTCTACTTGTAGTCTTAACCAGAAATCTGGACAAAGATGAATGATAATGGGGTGAGGAAGTTTTTCCTGCCTCACAAAAGGTTATTTTCAAGTTTGATTTGAGTTTTGGATGAAAACTCATTTAAAAAATTTTTTTTTATATGAATCAATTCTCTGTTCCCTAATCCTAAACCTGATATTTTCCCTTTCTCTTCCACGGTGATATTATCATCAAGAAGGGCAAGGTTTGAAAGCTACTGGATATTTTCCATCCATCTTCCTGTTCTTATAATTGAATCTGCCCTTATATTGTAAATTGATGGTTATTTGAATGGTTTTTTGATTCTCTTGAAGGCATGATGTGTACATGTCCTGTGTTTCTTTCTTTCTTTCTTTCAGCTAGCCACTTTCTTTCTTCCAGTTTACTTTTTGTCGCAGTTTTTGCTGTGCAGTTCTGCCTTCTTAATTTTCTTATTTTTGAGTCATTATTTTATTATTAATAATATTGAATTGAAATAGCAGCATGGAGTCTGAGACATGGATCAGGACCCCATTGTGCTATGCACTATTAAAACACATATTAAAAAAGGTTATCTCTGCCCCAAAGCTTACAATCTAAGTATAAGACAAGAGACAACAAGAGGATGAAGAGAAGGGGAGCACAAGGAAACAATGAAATGGTACTGGACAGCATGATAGGCAGTGATCTCTGA